TGCGTTTTTAATAGTAAAGGATTAAAAGTAACACAACCTTTTATAATCATCCTATATTGCTTACTGTCTGACAGTTTAAATAGCTCCGTATGTCTATTTTCTTTTTTAGTGGCATCATCTACAAACACAACACTAAGAATGAATACGTTTATCACTTTTAATAATTAAAAAAGACAATATAACACTATCTTATCTGTAATCTAATAGTATCATAAATATAATAAACAGCCAGATTCCAGCATTATTTACCAGCCATTAATGTTGCACTAATTTACTTATGGACCGTGTGGAAATCTAGAAAAATAGAATAAATGTAAATAGAGTTCTTCTGTTTGTCTTTATCCTATTTCTAGAAGTAGAATCAATTAAATAGAACTATTCTTATGTGGAAAACAAAAAGTTTCAGATCTTTAGCATCCTTCTCATGTTGTTATGTTCTTCAAAAGAAATAAAACCTGTTATTTATACCTGAACTGAAGTGAAAACATTAATAGAAATATTGGTTAAAGGGAATCAGATGATAGTTTACAGTCTTTGCTCATTTTAACAGCAGTTTTCAGAACTCCTGTCTGACTCAGAATATTTAGTTTTAGAAAACAAATCCTAATGTTGGTTACTTACATTTCTCAAGTTCATCAAATCCAAACTCTCCCCTGCTTCTTTACAGAACTGCAATCAGAAGCTTTCGCCTGATTTAGCGTAAATAATATTTAGTTTTTAATCGGGACTAGTTTCCAACCGCTGTATTCACACGCACACATACAGACTAGAAAACAAGCAATCAGAAAGAGAGAAGGAGGAACTTAAGGCAGAAAAAGCAGAGAGTTAAACAGTGCAGCACAGTTGATGCGTTGCTACGTGAAAGATAGAGCAAAGAGCAGGCAGCTGCAGCTACCAGGCAGAGGAGCTAAGAGAGGAAGCGAAGCCACTGCTGCTACAATTAGTAGTAAATTATAAACATGTTGTTCACATCCAATTATTAGTAGGGACAAGTAGGTCCAAAATGTGGGTAGGGACATGTCCCTATGGTCCCTAAGCAAACCTACGTCTAGAACTGCTCATGCCTGCATGGCTTCCATTTCTCTGAGGTGGGTGGATGAGGAGTTTGGAGTAAAACATGTTGAGGGATCTCTGAGTCACACAGCCTCCTTCATGGCATGAAGGGGAGGACTGAGGAGGTTCCTCTGGCCAGTGAATGATGGAGCTCACAGGGAACGGCCTTCATGAACTCAAGTTGTTTTGCTTCAATGTTCAAGTGTGAGAAAGTTCTTTATGCAGGGGAGGGGTTGGTTCCTCTGGGGGGAGTTTGTGTGTTGGGACTTTTGTAAGGTATAAATGTATGAACTGAGCTTTGGCCATCTCTCCTTCTGAGGACGTTAAATTAATTTTCCTAACCCCACAGGAGCCATGGCAAAAGAGGGGCTGTGATGAAATACCTTTGTCCCCCAGCACGGTAGGGGTCAGGATCAGATGGCCCTGGGTGAGTGACCTGCAGAAAGGGAGCAACAACAGTTTGGCAA